AACTGGTTAGTATAGAGGGAATAGTTATGCGATTTTTTTAGAGCAAGGAATTTATACTTGGTCTAGACTACTGGTGTTGGTGATAATGTGAATTTACTACCACTTTTCTGGGAAATAAGAAAACTTAGTGTCATATAATATTTTCTAGAAGATAACCTTAAAGTCTCTAGTCAGACCTCTTCATCTTAAAGAGAAGAGTCAAAGCCCAGCAAATGAAACTGACTGACTTGCTCACAGTCACATAGTTAGTACTGAAGTCAGGGACAGAGTTCAGGTCTTCCAGGTTCTAGAACTTTTTCTGCTGTGTTATACACCTTCTGGGCTCACTTTTTTCCTGTCTTTTGGCTTATATTGCCTCTGTGTGTATTCTTTTATTTTCCTTTTCTGGATTGTTATTTCACAAGCTAATATGCATACTATTTGGGTATGTGTGAAACAAGTTAAACATACCTGTTTAACTAGAAGTATTCCATCTCAAAACCTGTTATTGATGAGTACAACTAATGACTAGGCCTGAGAAGAAGCAAGAGAACAGCCCCGCAGACTAGATAAACATCTTTAGCTTCTTCATTCTTTTGGACTGGTATCGCATACGCTCAGGAATCTCTCAAGTTCTCCCAAAGGAAATTCTTGATTTTTGGTCAAATTAGATGAAGAGCCAAGAGCTAAACAGAGGAATAGCATTAACCAAACTGGGAGTCTGGAGACTGTGTTCTGTTCTCAGCACTGCCATTAACTGGTAGATGATCTTGGACGAGTAACTTCTCTTCCATGGGCCTTAGTTTCTTTTGTAAAATGGGAAAATTGACTGGATCTCTCAGGTGCCTTCCAACTCTAATATTCTATGATTAGTTGTACAGGTGCCATCCTTATGTGAAATGATGCTATTATTGTGCCTGTAAATATAACCAAGGCTGATAGAATTCAGAATGTATTAATTCTTTTTCCTTCTCTCCTTCCAAGACTACCACTTACACCCGCAGAGGCCATGGGAACTGCACTAGCCCTGGTTGCTCTTTCACCTATGTTACCAGGCACAAACCACCAAAGTGTCCAACTTGTGGAAGCTTTCTGGGAGGGAAGTGGGTCCCAAAGGTAAGGTCTACTAAATACTTTTTTAAACAGTGGGAACTCTACATTGCATGCTTCTTTCATTATTCATAGGGTAACATTTTATTTGTTTATAATAATTGCAACAATAAATGCAACACCAATTGTGTTTAAAGTGATTCTTCAATACTTCCTAGTGTAGTTCTTCTGTCAGTTAAAGCTTTTGAACTTCCTTTTGCATTTGGCCAATTATGCATTTTAAGGCATTCTTCTGTTCCTTGGCTTTTTGGACCTCTTTTGCCATTTGGGTTAGGCTATTTTTTAAGGTGTTATTTTCTTTAGTATTTTTTTGGGTCTCCTTTAGCAAGCTGTTGACTTGTTTTTCATGATTTTCTTGCATCTTCCCAGTTTTTCCTCTACTTCTCTTACTTGCTTCTCAAAATCCTTTTTGAGCTCTTCATGCCCTGAGACTGATTCATATTTTTCTTGGAGGCTTTGGATATAGGTGCTTTGACTTTGTTGTCTTCTTCTGGTTGTATGTTTTGATCTTCTTTGTCACCAAAGAAAGATTCTTGATCCCAGCCAATTACTTGAGTCTTAAACTCTTTGTTAAGGTATCCAGTGTGGAGAATGTACTGTCCCAAGCTTCAGGGGTTTTGTGCAGCTATTTTCAGAGATACTTTGTAGGGACCTGTAAATTTTCAGTTCTTCCAAGGTGGTATGATATGGGGCGAGGTGTTTACTCCTTTCCTGGCCTGGGCTCTGGTCTATGAGTGACCACAAGCACTCTTTTCTGCTTTGGAACTGTGAGGAGGACTTCCTCTGCACTGCCACTTCAAGCACCACAATTCCAGCGCTCTTCCTCGCCCCAGGGCCGTCACCCAAAACTGCAACCCAGATCCAAGCATGGGCAAAGCAAGAGAACCCTGCCTCAGCACCAGCAAAGAGATCCCTGCAGTCTCTCTCTGATCAGCTGCTCGATTCCCCCCCTCAGTCTGTGGGCCAGGAGCTCCGGAAGCAGCTGCTGCCCCGGGTCTGCGCCAGAACTGTGGCCAGGCCAAGCTCCTGTCTCACCACTGTCAGACAGACTTTTCCTACTGACCTTCTAAGTTGTCTTTGGCATTTATGGGTTGAGAAGTCTGGAAACCACCACAGCTCCCCTTGATTCAGTCCCCTGATGCCTGCTCCAGATTCACTGAGGTCTGGTCTTTGCCTGTGCAGCCCATGCTGAACTGTGCTCCTTTCCCAGCCTGGCACAGCAGACCTTTTCAGTCAACCCTCCATGTTGTCTTGGGCTGGAAATTTGTTTCACTCTGTCTTTTTGTGGGTTCTACTGCTCTAGAATTTGTTTAGAGCCATTTTTTACAGGTATTTGGAGGGCTTTGGGGGAGAGCTCAAGAAAGTCACTGCTCTCACTCTGCCATCTTGGCCACGCCCCCCCTTCATTCTTTTTTTGTTCATTCACAGCACTCAAATGAATCATTTTGGAAATTCCGTGCATTGATGCAGATTGCATCTCATCCATTTCTGTCTCCATTGTGTGACTCCCATAAGCTTGCCACAGAAAGTTCACCCTATGTGTTTGATTTCCCCTGACATCTAAAGGGTTCCAGGGCACTCTGACTGTTCCCTTGTCATCCCTTGTTGTTACTGCCTGGCCAACCTGTATTCTCTTTCTATCATTACAGTTTCTTGATGGCATCTTCTATTCCTGTGATTCCTTGGAGTTCCTCATTGGTTATATATTTTTTCCTATTATCCTTCTTCCATTTTTGTCCTTAAATGCCCTTGATGATTTTGCATAGTTAGATGTCTTACCAAACTTTCTTTCACCTTAGAAGGACTAGGTACATCATTTGATACTCACACAAATATAATTTTATTTTGAAATAAAAATTTTTATCTTACTGTCTTTGCCTTATTGATTAAAACAAAACAAAACAAAAAACCACTGCACCAGTTGACTCAGTGTCAATACTTTTGAGGTGTTCTTAAATTCTGGCCCTAGTGTTAAATTTTTGCTTTCCTCTCCTTCTTTACTTTATGACACAATATTGCTTGTAATTGTCCATCATCCTTCTTGGTAGTTTTCACAAAAAATTTTATATTTCATCCCAGTGTTGCCTTTGGAAGCCATGTCTTCCCATTGGCAAGTAAGTCAAGTGTTTGCTGCCTAAGGTACTTTCAGGCTTTTTTGGTCTCTTTGTTTTGTTGATAATTTGCATTGCTTAAACATAGATAAAATTGTTCCAGTCAGTGTCTGTGTTGTTTCTCTTGATTAGTTCCCATTTTTTGATTATCAGTCACTTGTTTCTGGATTTAGTTGTTTCAATTTTCTACCATATCTTTTTTTCATTGTTATTCTTTCTTTTAGTTTTTTACTAATTTTGATCTTAGCTCTGACAAGATGGTGGCCTGACTGCAATAAAGACTCACATCAATAACAACAGTTTTCTCACATCAGTTACAATCATTTCCTATCTATTACAACATCTGTCTCATTTTAATGTTATTTGGTCCTTGTCATGTCCAACATATGTGAATTTTTTTAAGAAAATATTTATGATATGAAGAAGTGAGGCTTCTGTGTAGCCTTATAAGTCATTGGTCTCTCTCAGTCCCTTCTGAACCAGGCTGTCTTAGATTTCTTCTTATCCTCGCCTTTTATCTTCTTTGCTTTGAAGTCATCAGGTAACAGATTGTATGTTGATTTCGCTTGGAGGGTTTATAAGTTCTTCATTGAATTTCTTCTCTCACAATTTTTTCTCTTCATTGAATTTCACCCTCAGCAACTAATAATGATGTATAAGATACAGTGATCTCAATACTGGTATTTTTGTAGGTACTTAATGCTAGCACTACAATATCTGATTACCAAGTATCCCGTAAAATAATATTTCCTGCTGCTCTTGGGTGTATGATAAAAACCCATTGCATCAGCTCCTTTTTTTGCCTCTTCAAGGAGTATCTGTGAGCCATCTTTTCATTTAGCTGCAACTTCTTTCTTGCAGCTGTCTCCTTTGAAGCAAGCAAGGCAGTCTAGGGAAGGAACATGGAGCCTAAGGGGGAGCCCGGAGATGGTCTGTGGCTACAGACCAAACCGCTGTTGTCTCCCCCAGGTGCTTGTGGAGATGGTCCAAGCCCTAAGCTAAGAGCTGTTAGGTCACAGGGTCCCAACACTCCCAGCTTGGGTTCTGCAATGGACTTTACAGTCTAATTAATTAAAAAAGAAAGTAGAAAGACCATACATATGAAAAAGTTAATAGTATAAAATAATTTCATTAAGTGCTAATGGAAAATTGTGGTATGGGGGAAAGAGCATTGGTCTTGGTTTTGGAAGCCTGGATTTGATTTCTGCTTCTGCCATTTGCATCCAAAGACTTGGATGAAGTCTTTTAATCACTCTAAGCCTCAGCTTCCTCATCTTTAAAATTGGGGTGATGCCATTTGAGAAGTGGCTAAACAAATTTTGACATATGAATGTAAAGTGTGGAAATTGCAGGAAGCAATATTTGGTTTTATTTTGTGATAGTATTGGTCATGTGTATGTCTACTTCTACTAACACTAAAAATGTCTAATCTTGATAAAATGTCTAATCTTGACTCAAAAATTATAATCTTGACCAAATGAAACTAAATTCAGTTGGTTTCCCTGCCTTCAGTTCTTTTATCAGTTTGAAGGCCAGATTTTGTGCCATATGTATGTTGTAGTACTCTCTTGGCTTTCTAAAGAATGTACAGAAGTTGCAGCTCTTCAAGGGAATGTGTCAGTGACTTAGATTTTTTTTTTTTGTGGCTGTTAATGTGGGCAAATCAAGTGTTTAAAGAATCACAGCAATCCCCATGAAACAGGATCCATTTCACTGAAGTACAAAGGAAAATGTCATCAGAAAAGGAAAACCAAGCCAAGAACTGACAAACGGTTGGCGCATGACAGCTTATTTAGTTCTTGAAGAGCGAGCAAAGATCTTCACGAGGACCTGGAGGCTGGAGGGCTTGCTATTGCTTTGTCTGTTTTGTGGCATGGGCTTTTTGAAGTTGGAAGAACAAGGAGAAGACCAATTTAAGCATAGGCAAAACTGTTAGCCATTGCTGTGAAGAAAAAAATGCTTCTCATGGGCAAGAGCACGAATACTGGAGTAATTTTTGCTGATAACTCATTCTTTCAAGTCTATAGTAAAATTGCCATCAGAAGAAATCCAGATGAGCCTGTAAGCTCTGGGCATCTTCATTAGACAGTAAGACATCACCCCAAAATGTTTTGGAGTTTGTTTTTCTGTTTTGTTTTGTTTTTTAACTTCAAGTAGTCCTGAAAATCTTGTTCCTATTAAGGGAATGGTGAAGTTTGACAAATAAATACACTTAGGAGCAGAAATTGTTACAGAATGATTAAAAATGGAGATATGTCTTCATACCATACCAAGTCATGAAAAGTTAAGAAATTTATTCAAGAGATAGAGAACTAAATACAGACAGTTTTCACTGTAAATTCACATTGCACAAATTTGATTTTATGTAAAGAATTCTGAAAGAAATCCATATCCCCAAAAATACCTTTGTTAACTTTACTGTGTAATAGTGTGCTCTGTCTCTTTGCTTCTGCCCCTCAACTTGGTGCTCTGCAGCCTCCCACTCTATCCTCCCCAAGAAAAGAAATTAAAAAAAACCCCAAGTGAAAGAACACATGTGCAGAGAGACTGCCACTGCCAGATTGGGAACATGGCTTGGGACCTCTGGCAGCAAGAGAGGAGATCTTTGTCCCACTTTGCTTACCTGCCCACACGTCTGGTCCCTATGTGTCTGTCTTCCATTTTTCTGCACTTGGATACTGAGTGTCTGTCCCTGGTCCTCACATGTCACCTATCATCTCTTGTTTGTGTCCATGTTCCAGCCCTCCTGTATCTGCCCCCCACATGTTCTTCATCTTGGTTCTGGCTAGGCCCCAATGTGGCTGGCCCCACAGCCCCTGCGTGTTCCTCCTCCTGCTCTTGCTTCTCTGTTCTCAGCCACCACATGTCCTTGAACTGTGTGTTGGCCCACTCTCCACAGGCGTCCGTGGATAAATTTGCATTATAACTGTCTGTATCATGCTTTAGTTAATGACCTGAGTATTCACTCTATTTAAACTCCATTGAAAATCTATGGACTCTAATCAAGACTGGTTTTGGAAAAATGGTCTCTTCATCAAAGGTACACGTTCTAGCAAATATGTAAAAGTATAGCTGCGTCATGAAGAATTAAAGAATATATCAAAACTAATAAGTAATTTCTGTGGTTTTTTTAATGCCTTTTTTTTTAAAGGTTGACCACCATTTTATTTTCCTCTGATCAGTTCAGGAATGTTGATGGGGGCAGATAGCTCTTTACATAGGCTTTGGAGGGGGTCTGGGAGCAGCACCAGCAGGTCTGAAGCGGGGTGGGGGTGTCCGATCCTTTCGTGCCTCCCGGGACCGATTCCTCACCACCTTGCTGTGGATTGTGCAGCTTACACGGTAATGCAGTTTCACATACAGTTTGGGCAGCACGTAGGAGTTGAAAACGCTGGCCTCGGAGATGTCCCCGACAGCCGCGGCTTCCACGATGTTGCGGATGACAAACTTCTTGATGGCCTTGTCCTTGGGCACGCAGCGGGCGCGGTTGGTGCAGCGGATAGGCTGCACGTGGCCGCGTCCCTTCTTGGCACGCCCCTTATTCCGCTTCTTCTTGGTCGTCTTGAAAGCCAGGAACCGAAAAAACTTTAATGCCTTTTTTTACCAAGCTGTTAATCCTCTTTTCATAATTTTCTTGCATTCCTCTCAGCTCTTTTCCTATTTTTTCATCTATCACTCTGATTTTTAAAATCCTTTTTTTCCCTTTTTAATCTCTTCCTCTGGGAATACTTGTTGGGCTTGTGTCTAATCTACATTTTTCTTTGAGGCTTTGCTTTTGTCGATATTTTCATGTCATTGTCTTCTTCTGAGTTTGTGTCTTGAGCTTCTCTGTAACCATAGTAGCTGTTGCTGGTCAGGGCTTTTTTGGGTTGTTGTTGTTTATTCATTTTTGCAGCCTGCTTCTTGACTTTGAACTTTATGTTAGAGTTGGACTATGTTCATTTTTCTGGGTAAGAGGAGTTCCTTGCTGTTTTCATAGCTAGTTCGTAGTGTCAGTGCTTCTAAGGTGGTGTGATGCAGGGAGAAGTGTGGTCGCTGCTCTTCTGGTCTGCGCTCTGGTCCTTATCCAGGTGGAGCCCCTGCTCTCTCTCAACCATAACTCTTCTCTATAGAACTGTGACCCCATATGCAGGCATGGCCCCTGCTTCCTTGCAAGCAGTCCTCTCTGCCCTGGACACAGCACCAAACAGGGACTACCTAAGCCATCCAGTAATGCCAAAGAGATGATGACTTGCTCTGGCACACACAGTCCAGTTCCATGAACTGAACCTGGAAATGAGAATAAACAGAAGAAAATATTGAGCAAAATGAAGGAAATGCTATGGGTATAGAAACAGAAGCCGGAAGACTAGCATAACTCAGCAACGAGTACAGATAGAACCTCATGAAGAAAAAAAAATGGATTGGCTACAGGGGCAGCTGGATGAATTGAAGCAAGACATGAAGAAACAATGCAGAGCTGAAATAACATTGATCTGTGGAGGAAAATAATGGAAAGAGAATAAATAACTTAGAGTAGAAGGCAAAAAATTTACCCAAGTAGTCTTAAAAAATCAGAACTCAGTGACTTTGAGACAAGAAATAGTAGAAAAAATTTCTTAATTGAAAAATAGAAAACGTCAGGTACCTATTATCAGGTAATCAACTAACCCGAAAAACTGAATGAGGAGAGATAATTTAAGAATCATCAGACTTTTGAAAACCATGACCATACAAAAAAAACTTGGATATGATCTTTTGAGAAATTAGGGTAAGAGACATGCCCAGGATCATACAGCTAGTAAGTATCAGAGGCCAGATTTGAACTTAGGTCTTTCTGACTCCAGGCCCGCTGCTCTATCCACTGTGCCCCTCAATGCATAGCTACATAGTCTTGCAAAATGAGTTCCCATATTTGTCATGGCTGAAAAGATCTCTTTCTGCATTTTAAGTTCATCATCTCTCTGTCAGGTAGGTGCCATGTTCTGTCATCATTCTTTTGGACTCAGGGCTTATCATTGCACTGATAAAAGTTTTAAAGTAGTTTGAAGTTGTTTTTCTCTGTATTGTTATTATGACATAAATTGTTCTTGTTCTCACTACACTCTGCATCAGTTTCCTCTGAAGTTCTCATTATCATACTGCAGTATAATATCCATTATGTTCATAACCACAGTTTGTTTAGCTGTTCCTCAGTGGGAAGACACCCCCTCTGAGTTTCTAATTTTGCCTATCACAAAAAGAATTGCTATAAATATTTTTGTACATGTAGATTGTTCTCTTCTCATAGGCCTAGTAGTGGTGCTGCTGGATAAAAGGGTATGTACAATTTGGTAACTTTCTGGGAATGGTTGCCAATTGTTTTCGAGAAGGCTGATCCAATTCAGTCAGTCAGTCAGTAAGCATTTATTAAGCACCTACTTTGTGCCAGACCTTGTCCTAAGTGCTGAGAATACAAAGAAAAGTAAAAAATAGTCTGCTCCTGAGGCACTCAGAACCAAATGAGAGAAACAATTTGCAAGTAACTATTCGCAAATAAGGTATATTTGAATATATAAATAAGGATAATTGGAAATACTCAACAGAGAGATGACGCTAGAGTTTAAGAGGGATCAGGAAGGACTTCTTGTAGGAGGTTGGATTTTGTCTAGGGCTTAGAGGAAGATGGGAGGCAAAGATGAGGGAGGAGAGCATTCCATGCATGGGGGACCAACTAGAGGAAATGCTTGGAGTCTGGAGATGGCGTGTCTTGTTTTGAGAACAGCAAAGGAAGTCTGTCACTGGCTCAAACTGTAAGTGGAAAAGAAAGGGTTGTTAGGTGTAAAAAGACATAGGTCTTCTAATATTAGTCTTTTTTCTTTTTTGTCATGTTTGCCAGTCCGATAGTTGTGAGATGAATCCTCAAAATTTATTTTATTTGCATTACTCCAATTATTTATGGTTTATAGCATTTTAAAATATGATTGTTGGTAGCTTAAACTTTTTTCCTTTGAAAACTACCTTTTTACAGTTTTCGATTATCTGTTGGAGAATGGCTCTTAGTTTTATGAATTTGGATCACTTTCTTATCCTGAAAATGAGACCTTTGTCAGAGAGACTAGTTGTAATGATTTCCCACAGTAACCTTATTCCCTTCTAGTTTTTACTATATTAGATTTGTTTGTGAAAACACTTTTAAATTTTATATAATAAAAATTGTCCATTTTATTTTGTGTGATCCTCTGCATTACTTGTTTATTCTCAAATTCTTCCTCTATCCTCATAAATCTGGAAGGTAATTTTTTTTCCCCTTGCGCCTCTAATATTTTGCGATATGACCTTTTATGTCTAAATCGTTTATCCATTTGGCTCCATCTTGATGTATGATGTAAGGCATTGATCTAAATTGGTCAGACTACTGTCCATTTTTCAGATATTTTTGTTAAAGAATGAATTCTTCCCTCAGTAATTGAAGTCTTTGGGTTCCAAGGAACTTAAAGAAAAAAAAACCGTGGACTAAATAGATTCATAGGTGAATTCAGAGAATTAAAGACATTCAGAGAATAATTATTTCCATTATTACTAAAATTATTTGCAAAAATAGGGAAAGAAAAGAACTGGCTAAACTCCTATGAAGTAAATAATACCCTGATCCCTAAAGGAGGGACAGATGAAGCAGTGATAAAAGTGGGAGTCTATCTTCCAAGATACACACAGGACATATATACATATACAGCTGCAAAACACACTTTACTGAATTAATGGCAAACTTAACTATTTGGAGGGCTGTTAATTACTCGTGGTAGGTTCATGTCAATAAAATAAAAATGACAGCACTACCTAAATTTATTCACAGATTCAATACAATATCACTTAAAACTACCAGAGTTGTTTTGATTTTTTTTTTAAATAGACCTAGGAAAAATAATAACACAATTTATCTGGAGAAACGAAATGTCAAGAATGTCAAAGGGAAATAATAAAAAAGGTAGGAAGAGACCTAGCAGTACCAGATCTCAAAGTATACCACAAAACAATAATCATCAAAACTTCTTTGTTGATTAAAAAAAAAAGTTTGTCGGTAGAACAGATTAGATGCATGACACTGAGAAGTAATTAAATAATAATGTGGTGTTTGGTAAATTGAGTTACTTGGTTAAGGACTCACAATTTTGCAAAAGTTATGTGAAAACTGGAAATCAGTCAAGCAGAAATTGCACACCATCTAACACAATAAGCTTCATATAGATACATGATGTAGATATAAAAGGACTTATAAATAAAAGAGGTTACATGGATAAGTAGGTAGAATGCCAGCTTTGAGACAGGAAAACCTGGGTTCAAGTCCTGCCTCTAATACATATTGATGCCATGATCCTAGGCAAATCACTTAACATTTTGTGGTGGTATGTTGGTGACTCTAGTTTCTCAAAGGCTATCCAAGGGTAATGCAAGCTCTGGCAGGTCCTGCTGAACTGTAATATGGTCCTACACAGGTTCTCTGCTGCCCAGGTACCAGCTATGTAGAGCTTATCACCACTATATAGGTACCAGCTTTGTAGAGCTTATCACCACTATGTAGGTGATGAATTCTTTGGCTATGGCAACTTATAGAAAAAATACAAAATGGACTTGGGTCCTGTGCAGTATCTTTCCAGTTCCAGAGGAATTGTGGCAGAGGTAGCTAAGACTCAGTAAATTTATGACAGTTTGTCAATACTGACTGAACTCTTATACTCTCACATCTTTGCCCAGCAGTCAGTATTGAATTGGTGCCCAGCTAGTAAACAAAATGAACCATAGCAGGCCTAACATTACTCTTTTATAGGAAAGTAAAGCATGAAGGAAGTGGCAGTGACATTGAAGGATGATTTACAGGTTGTCCTTGAAAAGGCAAAACCAAAAAGTGTTGGAGGTTTTGTGTTTTTTTTCATAGTGCTCCCAAAGGCAGTAAGAAAAATAATTTAATAGAACTTGGTTATTGCCTTCTTCTCAAGATGTGCCTAAAAAAGACCACAAAGAAGATCATTTGTGGCCCGTGCCTTAGCTGTGGTGTCTGTTGTAGAGTATGAAGTAGAGAAATTCTGCAGAAAATGATTGAAAAAGCACTTAAGGTCTTGCTATTGGTCAAGCATTGTGCTAAGAGCTCAGAATACAAATGCAGTAGCAAAACCAATACCTGCCTTCAAGGTACTTACATTCTAATGGAAGAAATAATAGCTAGCACTTCTATAGCTGCTCTTTAAGGTTTGCAAAACAGTTTACGTACATTATCTCAGCTGATTCTCATAACAACCTTGTAGGGTCTGGCATTCTGTGACTTACCATGTTTCACATGTAAGTAGCAGGGCCAGGATCTGTTCTAGGGCGAAGTCTTCTAACTTGAAATCCAGTGTAATTTCTGCTATACCTTGCTAAGTATTGGAGTTCACTTGGTTTTTGTTGACCTCTTCCCCTCTTGTGTTTACTAACCCCAAGGTATGTTACTCGAAGGCTAAGTGACTTGTCTTAGACACGATGCAAAAGAACCAGCTAAGACATGATATTCTGAGTCATATGGAAAGGCTGCTAAACAGTCATCACCTCACTAAGAGTTTTGCTAGAAATTTTTCCACTTAATTCTGAGTTCTTAATGCTGT